CCAAAAAAAATCATTAATATCTCATACCAATCCCACCCCACCATGACGAGATAAAAATGGTCCAGTGCCGAATGAATTGAATCGCTTGATTAATTGAAATCGCTTGATACTCCCCGAATAATTTACACCGATAATAATCACGGTCAAGTGTGATATGACAAATAACCGTGCATTAGGGAATAGATTTTAAAGTGGGAGGGTAAAATTGTAACTAGAGACGCCCTTTAACGACGATCTAATAATACTGGGTCTCGCGTTTCTAACGTTCTCAACACGCGTGCCGTCGGCAATCGGATCTCTCTCTGGTGTTACCCATAATACATTTAAACTTCAGCTCATGTATACGTGTAGCCCAGAAATAGATACGAAATTTTAAAGTCTGAGTTGGAGGGAGAGGGACCTACACCGCGATTCATCAATTTTATCCCATTTTGTACCAATTTTTTCCCATTTTTTATCACCGAATGTTGACTAATTGATTTTTTTTCACTCCAATGAATAACAATTGGAACATCTCCACCCACATTTTTCTATTTATCACCTGCAGGGACTTATGACCCCGAGAATAACCCGACGAATAATTAATTGATCCCATTAAAATACCCGTTGAAAAATCATAGATAAATTAAATTCCTCAACCTGATGATTATCACCGTGTGATTCCGCCGATGTTCCACCGAGTTTATCGTCATTCCGTTCACTCATTCAAACTCACCGATAGCATCATCCCTCCCACATTAAAAAAGACCAGTCGCTCATAAAAATTCAATCACCACGAGTACCAAAAATTCCATAATTCAAATAATAATCCTAAAAAAAATCCCGGATAATCATCATCATTATCCCCATCTTCAAAAATTCACCAACCCTCCACTCCAATTAATTAATTAACCAGCTGATAAATTCCGATGGAGAGAGAGAAGAAAAAAGAAAATGAGAAAAAACGGGCTAAGATAATCGTTAAACCAAAACCCGTAAAAACGCCAGGAATATTCAATTACAAAATAGAAATTTGGAGTTATTGGGGACTCAGGGTGACACCTGTGGATGCATTTTAGCCCCAGGTGGTCACATCATCGAGAGAATATGCGTTAAATATTTCACGAAAAAAGAGAAAACCCAGGGAGAATCGTAAACTCAATTTAGCTGTGCGGACCCTCCACGGTGGTGAACAATCTTTTTAGATAGCAAGGGGTTATCGTTAACCGCTTGTTTTACAAGTCGTTTTCCACCTCAATTTGTTTCCCCCAACACCTGTATTATTTTTCATATTTATCAGTCGAAAAAAAAAAAAAACCCACGAGTACTCGAGAAATTAACTGAAAAAATCCCAGAATAACGGACGTAATGGAAAAATCCACGAGAAAAATTCCAGAAACTATTCAAACAACAGTTGGAGTTTGGATAAACGATTAAAGCGGTTTTTCATTATTTTTATTTAGTTTATTTATCCCCCCCTAATTTTTTGGTGCCACCCGTTGCATCCGGGGGGGCCCATATAATCCAAACGAGGTGTCCACCAGGTATGCCTTATCCCGAGTCAAGATCTACGTAGTAAATTTGTCGTGTAGCCTCTTGGGGCCACACTCAGCTTCTCTTATTTTTCCCTTATTTTTCATTCATTTTAATTTTTTGTCGTCAAGACGCCTTTTATTTCCTTGGCGTTTTTTTGATTAGAATTCTTGACGCATCTCGAAAGACATGTTTATCGCCCCCTCATGATTATCCGATTTTGCCACCTTTCTTATTCCAACCTGAATATCTATTTTTTTTTTCTCCTCTCCATCGACGAAATAACAAGTGGCGGCAATTTTTTCCACCGGTTTATGCTTCACTCCAGCGAAATTTTATTAATCGTCTGGTGTATAAATTAAATCCTGCGCTTGGTATTTCTCGGATTTATCCGATTGATAAGAGAATCCGTGGGATTTTCATTTCGTTTCGCGGTCTGAACGACGATTTGCCATTTTTTTAGGCTTCCGAATGAAAACCGCGGAATCATTAAAATGGAATTTACACTCTGATTTCAGTGGACAGCGAGAGGGAAAAGAGCAAGGAACGAATCTCTGTGACTCAAGTAGCGAGAGTGGAGATGATACTAAAAGACAATCTGTCAATCAACAGCCACCACCTCAGACCTCATCCTGCGCTGTACAACAGCAGCAATCCCAATCCCAACAGCGTATGGTAGATCATCAACAATCATCGAGTATGTATCAACTACCAGCACCAGTAACAGTATCATCCCCCCACTCCTATCACCAGAGTCATGGCCACACACCGACTCATCACATGCACCACGACACAAGCAGCGAGAGTGGCGACGACAAGAGAAATCTCCATCATCAGCTCCAGCATCATCTCCAGGGACACAGTGGTCACAGTCTGATTCATCCAACTGCTACACTACCTCCCCCACCACCTAGCTGTGCCCAGCAGAAGAGCCAGCTGGATTACATGCAGTACTACACACCACAGGTAAGAATTGGTTGAACAATCCCTCCGATATTAATTACCAATTGAATAAAAAATTACTAAATCAATCAGTCCCTATTTGCCGTGACAATCAGAGAAATTATTCAGAGAAGAACAGTCAACTGAATTATCGAAACAATGAATAAACGATTGTTCACAGGATTACCTCATTGGCACCCCAACATCAGCGGACATTCAGAAATCCCTACCCCATACAGCGACATCAATGCAAATGGGCGCAATAGCACCAACAATGGGCGGTCTGAGTCCAATGGGACCATCAACAATGATACCAAACACGATGCAGAGTGTCAACAGTATGAACACAATGTCAATGAACGTTGGTATGGGTATGGGAGCATATCAGGGTATGGGCACGATGGGTATGACAACACCCCACGCTGGTTACCACAGTGGCCTAGTACTCGGTGATTATCACTCGTTGTGACCCTGGCCTCCGAGTACACCAGGTAAACGTAATCAGGAAAAGACTTAGTTGGCTTTGCGTATCATTTTTCAGTAAGTAAAAAAAAAAAAAAAGAAAAAAAAGAACAATCATATGAAATTCAATTCCAGAGATCAGGTAACGAGATTGACACTCGAAAAAAAAAAAGAAAATAAGTACTAATTCATGTCATGGCTTGACTTGATTCGCGATTTGAAATAATTATTTCAAGTATCGGAGACGATTTTATTTCGATCGAACTAAAAGAAAAACACCTGGGACACTTTTGTTACCCATAATATTTCAATTGAACGAGTTTTAATGTCAGGGCAATAATTAATTAATGACCCTTCATTATCTCCCACTGCTTGTTTTCTTGGTTCTGTAAATATGTAGATACTAGAATAAAATCATCATTATGTTGGTTAGAACGAAAGTGAAAAATGCGAGACAAACCCGGTTTTTCCCCCTCTCTAGATCAGCACAACCGTTCGTGCATAGTGAAGTGCATATATAGAGGTTTAATAATCATAGTAATTATTGATTTTATCTGTAAATAGTTGACTATACTCGTAAATCGAAGGTTTAAACAGAGAATAAGTGTCCGAGGGACGAAACAGGGTAGACCATATACGATTGGCCAATCCATTTCATTGATTTCATTGATTGCAATTAATAAATGAAATGCCGAAAATTTATCATTTCCTTTTGTTTCGATTCACGCACAAAACACTTTCTTCCTAACGTTTTAATTACACAACATTCCGATGGAATATTTCATATATTCGAGAGTCGAAACAAAGAAATTACTTTCATCTCTTCTATTTTCAATCTCCTTCTATTAAAAAAAATAACGAGCAAATTAGGACGTAATATTAATCGACAATTTTTACCGTCTCAATTTGTCGCACAAAAGTTAAATAATCCAGCCAAATTCCACTGATGGTTTAGAATTATTTTGTCCATGCATAAACGACTGAATGATATAATTGTAACGTGGAAGGAGTTTATCAATTAAAAACTAGCGGACAAAGAGAGAGAGAGAGAGAAAAAAAAACAGTTTAAGCACAAGTTTTAACGAACATTATTGCTGAATGATGTAATGATTGAGCTATATCGAATAAAGTTGATGTTATTTGAAAGACCAAAGTCTTCTTCATTCTTAACAATTACCCCTCCCTCTTGAAATAAAAACGATAATTTTCAGGGGCTGCAGGTTAAAACGAAAGGTAATTATTTAAAGACTATTAGGGGCTCGATCTGATAGAGAAATGGAGAAAACAGTCGAGGAGAAGAATCTAGGATAAGGATCTTCCCCGTGAAGGAACCAGGATGAATAGGTAGGTAAGGCCCAGCCCTTAATGATACCAAAACTCGACTGAAGCCCTCGGTACTTCATAAAAGTAGCTCCTTGCAGTGTCTGTCAGACAATCCCGTTCGATCGAGCGACCAGAGAGGGAGAAAAAAAAAAAAATAAGAAGAAAAAAGACGCATCTGGACGCACGCTGCAAACACCGGGTTCCCTTTTGTGTCTACTCCAATTCCCTATGCCTTATCCATGCCATCATTTTGGAGATTTCAACGAGAAATGCGCAGATGAGAAAGAAAATATCGGGGATTTGTATCAAACGGAAGTTTGTCGACAATACCCCGCAAAAATACGATTTAATGGAAAAATTCCACAAGGATATTTGAATTTTCATCAATACCCGATCTCCTGAATATTTGTTAACAATTTTAAAAGGTGTCCATTTTTTATGATCTTTTAAGAAAAATTGAAATTTTGAATTTTGACAATTGAGATAAATCACGTACACCTGCTAGAACTTGTATATTTATAAAATGAAAGCATGTTCCCCATGTAATCCACATTTAATCGTATTTTCCAGTACTCGACTAGCTAATCCCCCGACGGATTCTTTCCGGTCTTTCGCTTCCACTGTAAAGAGTTGGTTCCACTCATCCCGAGATGCTTTTTTATAAACTTCTTTCTCATTCACTGAATTTTCTCAACCTTTTTTTTTTTCTTTTTTTCTCCTCTCGGCGCAGTGCGCCAAACAAGTAGTCTTTGTGTGCCCCGTGTCAAGATGCTACTTGACAGCAAACGTCTATGCCCCATACCGTAAAAAAGTAGGGAAAAGAGAGAGAGATAAAAGAAGGGAGAGGAAAAATATACACGAAGAGTCCTCTCGTTGAAAAATAGAGGATGAGGAATAAAAGGGGCTTAACTTTACGATCTTTCGAAATCCCGCCCGAGGGCTAAGACTCCCCAAATGGAAACGAAATTATAACACGCCGATGAGCATGCGTCGACTGCTCTTATTCCGCCTCGTTGACGGTTGAATAAGTGAGACGAATTGTTATTCCAAAAGAAACCTGTATCGATACATTTTCTATTCATCCATCTATCCGAATTACGAATATATCCTGACATTTTTTCCCCTTATTTCCCAATATTTGAATTTATCCGAATATTTCATCACCTAGTGCACAGATAATTCACCAACCACCGAGAAATAAAATGTGAAAATGTGGAATTCTCTGGTCCTCCCTGAATAATTTTCCAACAATTTCGAAATAAAAAAATGATAACTGGGGGGCTTGTGCCACCCCTCGATCAACAATGGCACCCTAGGCAGCCCTACAACCCTGTCTGAAATAATTACGGTATGATAAAGCCCACATTTCACAAGGTAATGCTCATCGAATCCGACATGACCCCCCCAGTTCACCCCCCAACCGATAAATAACCCCCGAAAAATTATAATTACCCCCCACTCCTCCATCTGACAGGCTTCCCTCAGTGATTCCCCCTGAATTTCAATGATTCAATTATGTATCTCCAATTATTCAATAATTTTGTATGGCAATTACACCATAAAAATCGGAGTATCGACTCAAATTAAAATATGACTTCCCCAAAATGTGATTTCAATGAAATATCCGATTAATATAACTATCCTCTCGTGATAATGAAAGTGACTGATAGACACTCAAATAAAATAAATAACTTGGACTCAAGCGATGTGGCTGAATAAATTAATTTCCGTCAGTGGCTGGTTCATAAATAATCCACCCAGTGAAAATCACGGTTGAATATAAAGAGGATGCCATGGAGATTGGGCTAAAAACCCTCCACCTCCTCCCAACCCTCAAGTCCCTTGAACCCTCGTAACTTACGTCGATAGCCCTGTAAACAATGAACCCAAGACACCCAGGGGGAAACGCGTGCGCACGTCTCATCGGTCCAAGATCTCGAGGTGTGATATATCGATAATGTTGGGAGGGGGAGGGGGGAGGGAGAGGTATATACCCGCGAAAGATATCGCTGATTTTAATCGACCGCGCACCTTGCAACTCTCGAATTTGTTCAAGTATCATTTATCGCGACGCATCATTTTTATTTGTCGATTTTTACTTGTCCTTCCCCTAAAAAAAAAAAATTGTCGATCAAGAATTTTCCATTCCAATTTTTCAAATTTCCCGGTGCAGATTTTCCGCGGATGTAGAAACGACAAAAAATGAAAAAGAATTTTCCCTTTTTTCGTTCAGCTGGGGGGTGAGAGGCTTTCGGCAATTGCATCCAGAAATCGAGGATTAATTAAGGGATTTCCCGGAAAATTGTTATCAGTGAAGATTCTTTATCAGCGGAGTAAATAATGAGCAAAACGAAAGCTCGAGACTCGAGATAAAGACACGTATTTCCACGTAGGACCCACGCGAACGCAATAAAGGAGTCACGATGCTGATCTCGTCTCGTAGATGGAGGGACGCATTTTTTTTTTCGCGAGGCCCTTGGAGTGGAGCGTTATGATTTGTGAAGGTAAAAGTAACAGAGGGCGCCCACGCCTTTCCAGGAAATCCCCTCACGTGGATGTTCCGCTAAATCCGTTTCCTCCTGATTCCCCGGCGTGTGGGGTTCCACCAACTACCGCGATAAAAACCGTTCTTTTTTTTTCTGCTCACGAAAGAATGGAGAAAAGAGGGAGGACAAAAAATAAAAACAAATACCGAGAGAAAATATTAAAGATGGTGGGGGAAGGAGAGAGAGAGAGAGAGAGAGCGCCTGGTGGCGGCCGCTCGGTGAGATCACAAAATCTGATTGCAACGGGGGTGTAATGGACAGACTAATTTGTGAAATTTAAATTCCAACCTCTCGCACATTTTTTTTATCCCTCCCTATTCCAACTCTTCCCAGAACCCCCACTAGACCATCACATCCACACAAAAGTTCTTTATCATCCGAAAAATCGAACTACACATTATTCACAAACCCGAGACCAAAGTAATCAGCGAATAATTGCAAAATCACAATTACACGACTACTGGGCACTCAACAGCTCCCGAATTATCCCTTAAAAATCAAATAAGACCCTTAAAAACCCAAAATTGTCAACATTTGTTAGCGATTACTCGTTCGACAAATTTTTATCCTATCCAACCACTCAAGTGAATCTTGACATGAACGCAAAGTGATTTCGTCCGCGTGGTACCTATAGAAATGTGAACGGCAACCGAGAGAGACTACAATTTTAATATAAAAATATGAAAAAAAAAGGGGAGAGAGAGAGAGAGAGAGAGAGGGGAGGACGAGGGGGAATAAAAAAAGAAGAATGAGGAGAAGAAAAAAAAATGGAGGGAGGAAAGAAGTAAAGAATGAACGAGAAACGTGTATGTGCGGAGGACGTGTGGATGGGGCCCTAACCCATGTAACTCGACACCAGAGTCCCCATCGGCCAGTCCCTACCCCACACGTCAGCTAGATTCCCCCTCTCCCCCCCCCCCA